CTTCCTTCCTTCCTCGGTTGTGGGGCTTGAATTCTGGGTCTGGGCACTGTCCCTCAGCTCTTCAGCTCAAGGCGAGCGCTCTACCACTTGAGCCACAGCGCCACTTCTGCTTTTCTAGTAGTTTATTGGAGATGAGTCTCATGGACTTTCCTTCCTGGGCTGGCTTTGAACCACAATCCTCAGATCTCAGCCTCCTGAGTAGCTAGGATTACAGGCGTGAGCCACTGGTGCCTGGCTTTTCTACTACTTTTTTAAGGAGGAGGAAGAGGAATGGGTAGGGGGGAAGAGTGTTTGTATGAGATACAAAATACATCTACAGAGCCTGGGCTCAGCTTTCTGATTTCTGTAAACTACCAGCCTAGATTGGAAACCGAGAAAGTTTTATGGTCAGACAATATATGAAACTAATACTCTTCATATAAAACCAGTGTTGGAGGATATTGTGTTTCAAAAAACCTTGTTTCTCGAACTTTACAACTTTGGTGGGGGGGACGGGGGTTGGGGGGGGAGGATATGAAGGGATGGGAAGGGGAAACAAAGGAGGAGGCAACAATGCTTAATAAGAAATGTGCTCATTATCTTACCCATGTAATTGTAACCCCTCTATACAGTATTTTCACAATAAAAAGATATTTAAAAAAAAAACCTTGTTTCTTCTATAAGGAGAAATTTAGTTTATAAAAATATCTATTCCTGCTGGCAGTGATGGCTCCACCTATAATCCTAGCTATTCAGGAGGCTGGGAGCTGAGAATCAAGGCTCAAAGCCAGCCTGGGCAGGAAAATTCATGAAACTCTTCTCTCTGATTAATCACCCAAAAAGTCCAAAGTGGAGCTGTGGCTCAAGTGGTAGATCACTACCCTTGAGTGCAAAAGCTTAGGGACAGCGCTCAGACCCTGAGTTCAAGCCCCAGGACTGGTTTGTGTATACTTTCTCTCTCTCCTCTCCCTCCCTCCCTCCCTCTCTCCCTCTTTCCCCCTCTCTCCTCTCCCTCTCCCTCTCTCCTCTCCCTCTCTCCTCTCTCTCTCTCTCCTCTCCCTCTCTCTCTCTCTCCTCTCCCTCCCTCTCTCCTCTCTCTCCCCTATCCAAATGACTGTTTGCTTTATTTAAGGATCTTTGTTTTCATTTGTTGAATACCTCCACTTCATAAGCTTATCAAAAGTGGCTGCTTGTAGGCTTGAAAGTCTTAAGAGACAGATTTTTTTTCTGAATTTCTGAGGTAGTGTTTATCTTAAGGAAATACAGAGAGAACATGATCTTAGTGAGGAAAAAATGTTCCAAGAAAGTGCTCCTGTGTTTGTTTTGCATCAAACTGTTGGTGGGCTAGATAACACACCTAAACATTTCAAAAATAAAAAGTCTATCAACGTTTACTTTCTGTTCTTTATCCTTAATTCGGAAGCACCACCACCCTTCTGCCTTATTTATACACTAATTTCTTAGTACCTTTCTGTGCTTTTGGTCTTGTTGACAATTGTATGTATTCATTCTCAGCATCTCTCTGTCATCCCCTTCCTCCCTAAAACATGGGCCTCACTGAATAGCCCAGCCTAGCCTGGAACTTTATATCCAAGGCTATACTTGGAGCTCAGTTTCCTGCCTCAGCCTTCTATTGCTGGGACTACAGAAATACAGCACCATGCCCAGCTCACAAACATATGGTCTTTTTGTTGTTGTTGCTCGGTTGTGGGGCTTGAACTCTGAGCCTGGGCACTGTCCCTGAGCGGTTCACCTCAAAGCAAGCGCTCTACCACTTGAGCCACAGCACTACTTCCACAAAAATATGGTCTTATCCCAGTTTCTACTAATTATATAAAAGATATCATTCTACAAAACACATACTCTGCTTTTTTGAGTGCATTTGGCAGTTCTTTCCATATTAGTATACACATCAACTTTGTATTGTAAAGTGATGTAATGTTCCATTTTATGGGTTAAATTATGGTTTATTTTGTCTCTGAGTGGTGCCCAGTAGTTTTGGTATTTTACTCTCAGAGGCACCGCTAAAATGAGCAGCTGTAATGTGAACGTGTTTGTGTTGTGCACGTGCAGTTATGTCCCCAGAGCATTGCTGAGGAGCAGAAGAAGCACTCAATTTCAGCAAACTGCCCTCTTTGGCAGTGATCTCATTTTACATCCGCTGCAGGGAGTGACAGTGCTTCTTCCTGTCGTTTCAGGATGAGAAGAGATTTTTCAGGGGATCTTAACAGGAAAGATACATTGTCATTCATATGTGCAGATACCATTTACAAATTAAGTTCCCCCTGTGTTCCCTTTCTGTGCACTGTCTTGTCTTCACCTGTTTTGGTACTAAACTATTGGATTTTGTCCTCAGGGAAGTAGCGCTTTGTGACATTGCTTGCAAACATTTTCCCCCCAGTTTGGTGTCTAACTTTTTATTTTGATACAAGCTTTCAATAGGCAGCCCCAGATTCCTAACACTCCTGCTTTCTCTCCCCTACCCACAGATGGCTTGTGTTATCTCACCTAAAAAGAATATTGCTTTTATTCTCTTAAAACTTTATTGCAACCTTGTCACTCATGTGTTTCTGGTATAAAAGCAGGAATTCAGTTCTAAATTCAAAAAACAAGATGATAAATTATTCTGGGAATGCATGGAATAGGTTGAATTTAGTCTTTCAAAGCTTCTTTTGCTTACTAGGGTAATCCTATGGCACTCAGGAGTCTGAGGCAGGAGGACTGTGAATTCAAGGTCAGCCTGGGCAGCAAGACTATCTAAAAAAGACTGTCTAAAAAACAGGGGAGCTGGGCACTAGTGGCTCATGCCTGTAATCCTAGCTACTCAGGAGGCTGAGATCTGAATATCACAGTTCAAAGCCAGCCTGGGCAGGAAAGTCCATGAGACCCTTTTTTTTGGGGGGGGAGGGTCTGGTCATGGGGCCTGAACTCTGGGCCTGAGCACTGTCCCTCAGCTTCAGCTCAAGGCTAGTGCTCTACCACTTGAGCCACAGTGCCATTTCCGGCTTTTTTCTTTTTTTTGCTTATGTGGTGCTGAGGAATCGAACTCAGGGCTTCAGGCATGCAAGGCAAGCACTCTACCACTGAGCCAGCTTCCCAGCCCAGTCTGTGAGACTCTTATCTCCAATAAATTAGTAGAAAAGTGGAAGTGGTTCTGTAGCTCAAGCGGTAGAGCGTTAACCTTGAGCTGAAGAACACAGGGACAGTGCCCAAGCCCAGAGTTCAAGTCCCACGACCAACAAAAAACAAAAAAAGGGGGGGGGAGATATTTTCTTGTTAGTTATCTTTCCTTTTTGTGAATAAAAGGCAATTGTGGAGTGCTTCAATTGCTCATGGCATTGAATTAGAAAACATAGTTCAGAGACCCAGTGATAGTTTATACCTCCTCAAAGTACTTAACTGTTTTCTAATTACACCCTCATCTCTGTTCAGAAAGGTCTCACTTTCCTTTCATAGTGGAAACAGTTCTGTTCCCAGTGGTTAGATAAGTGTATTGTTTGCCCATCTGTTCCTTATGTGACTTGGGCATTTTTTCACTGTGAGCAGTTGACTTACAGACTAAATGTTGGTTAATAATGGTTTCTCAAGTAACACTTTGCTGTTGCCATTTTGGCATCTAAAATGGGGTTTGGAAAAGTTGCCTGAAACCTTGTGATTCTAATTGTTGTTGTTGACCAGTTTTATAAACTCAGACAATCTTTGAGAATGCTAGTCAAGACAGTGGTGTCACTTCCGTATTAATGACTAAGTATGAAGAGCGTGAGATATTTTCATTAAGAAGATATTAACAGGGCAAAATTTATTTGAGTATGATCTTTTAGATGATGTTTTTGTATTTCTATTTGTAAAACACATATTGCTTACTTTAGAAAACTTGAGGAAACATTTAAGCATAAAATGAGTTTAACTTTGACTAAATAAAATGGAAACTATCTTAAGAGGTTTAAAGTGATTCCATGCATAGATCTTCTGTATAATAAAAGTTAATTTTTTCCAGCAGAAATCCAGGAAGCGAAAGCTCCCAGTCCTTCCATAAATCGGCAAACCAGCATTGAAACTGATAGAGTCTCTAAGGAGTTCATAGAATTTCTCAAGACCTTCCACAAGACAGGACAAGAAATCTACAAACAGACCAAGCTGTTTTTGGAAGGAATGTATTGTAAAAGGGTAGGTTGACAGCAGTCTCTTAGGGACATGGGGCTCAGGTTTGAGAGGGGGGTCGCAGAGAGCCATCAAAGAACCGTGTCAGTTTGTACCTGAGAAGATCAAGACCCAGAACTGCTAAGCTGTTTACCTAGGAAAAGTGCTGAGCCAAGTTACAACTTGACTCCTAGGCTAGTTCTTTTCCACTTGAAGTCAGTGGTGTGTGGAAATTCTGACTTTGAAAAAGCAGCTGGACCTATGTGCTTTAGAAACAGGACCTCCTGGCATGTTACCTTGTGAGTACACGAGCTGCCACTATAGCCTGAATTCCCTGTTAGACCAGTAATAATAGTTTTAGTTTATTTTTATTTTTAATGGTGTTTATTTTGGATTTGGATATTTAGTTTTCTGTTTCCTTTTCAGTTAAAGATAGATTGAATTTAGATGTCAAAAGAGACCTTAGGGGCTGGGAAGGTAGTTCAGTGGTAGAGTGCTTGTCTTGTATGCATGAGGCCCTGGGTTTGATTCCTTCACATAGGCAGAAAAGGTTGGAAGTGGCACTGTGGCTCAAGCGGTAGAGCGCTAGCCTTGAGCTGAAGAGCTGAGGGACAGTGTCTAGGCCCAGAGTTCAGGCCCCACGACTAACAACAACAACAACAAAAAGAGACCTTAACAGCTATACAGTTTCAGTCCCTTTATTTATACATGAGGAAATTGAGAACTAGCTTAGACAGTGGTCTATCCGAGTTACTATAGCTGGGTTTTCCCACTGAAACAGTGGCTTCCATGCTGGCATCTAACCCAGAATCTTTCTTTTTGTTGGTCGTGGGGCTTGAACTCTGGGCCTGGGCACTGTCCCTCAACTCTTCAGCTCAAGGTGTGTGCTCTACCACTTGAGCCACAGCGCCACTTCTGGTTTTCTGGTGGTTAATTAGAGATAAGAGTCTCATGGACTTTCCTGCCTGGGCTGGCTTTGAACCTCGATTCTTAGGTCTCAGCCTCCTGAGTAGCTAGGATTACAGGCGTGAGCCACTGGCTCCCAATTCAGCATAAATATTCTTAGGATGTAGAGTTCAGGGTGGCACTATAGATACTTGAGTCATTTTCCCCGTAACAATGCCCAGCTTCCACTCAAGACGTGCACCTTTCAACACATTGCAGATTTTTGCTTTATCACCTAAGCACCTTGATTTTACCGTGCTTTTAGGAGGCTCCCCCGCCCCTCAAATAAAGTACAGGGAAGTACTCAGCAGGCCACATGATTTAAATACAATTGGTGATAACACAGGACTGACAGTGCTTCTCCACTGTGTAGTATACAGATTGCAATTATTTTATTTTTATTTATTTTTTTGGTCGGTTGCGGGTCTTGAACTCTGGGCTTGGGAGCTGTCCCTGCGCACTTCAGCTCAAGGCCAGCGCTCTACCACTTGAGCCACAGCGCCACTTCGGGTTTTCTAGTAGTTTATTGGAGATAAGAGTCTCATAGACTTTCTTCCCCGGCTGGCTTCGAACCATGATCCTCAGATCTCAGCCTCCTGAGTAGCTAGGATTACAGGCATGAGCCACGGGTGCCTGGCTTTATTTTAAATTTTGACTTGATCAAAACCATGGGTTATAAATCTGAAAGTAAGGTAGGCTTACTGTGCCATAATTTATAAGTATCGCGAAGTATTTTTAAGCCAGATACCAGTGATTCACACCTGTAAGCCTAGCTCTAATGACGCAGAAATCTTAAGGATCACACTTTGAAGTCTAGACAGGGAAGTCTCTGAGACTTTTACCTCTAATTAACCACCAAAAAGACACAATGACGCTATGGCTCAAGTGGTAGAGGGCTGGCCTTGAGCAAGAAAGCTCAAGGTCAGTACTCAGGCACTGAGGTGAAGCCTCAGGATCGTGTGTGTGTGTGTGTGTGTGTGTGTGTGTGTGTGTGTACACTTGCATACTCCGTGTGTGTGTGTGTACACTTGCATACTCCTTAAATTGAGAACTGTTGCATACTCCTTAAATTGAGAACTGTGGTCATGAATTTTCTTCAGCTACCAAGTAGCCTCTGTTCTATGGTTTCAGGAATTGAGCATTGAGGAGCAGTCAGAGTGTACGCAGGACTTTTACCAGACTGTGGCTGAACGGATGCAGACTCGTGGAAAAGGTAACACTGCCATCCAGCCCTAGGGCTTCATGTAGTTGTGCAGCTCCTCTTTATCTCAGGCCATCCAAGAGCCAGTCCACTGACATCCCCATAGCTGGCCTCAGACAGTGTCTGGAATGATACTACTTAAGTTCCCATGACAACCAGAGCAGTAAGATGGTTGTTGAGAATTGGTAAGGGGTCAAGATGAAACAGATTAAAACCTTTACATCTATTGAGAAGCTTGGCTGAATGGGTGCCCATCTTGGGTCATCTTTATGATCATGGAACCCTAAGGGGATGTGGGAGGAGAACAGTGAGAACTCTGATGGAGCGCTCCTCTAGCGGTGCGCTTCCATTGGTGTCTTCTGCATGCTTCTAGCACATGTGCATCTCAGTAGTTGGCCTTTGTGTGCTTGCCTCAGAGACAGAAGAGGGCATCTGCCAACCTCATCAGTTTTGGGACCCTGGAGTGGCAGGACACTCACCTGCACAGGGCAGAGTAAGATACAAGTGGGATTCTATAAAAGGCAGGCTTACAGTGGAGGCAGATTTTCTTTTTGTTGTTTTGTTTTTTTGTTGTTTTGTTTTGTCAGTCGTAGGGCTTGAACTCTGGGCCTAGCACTGTCCCTGAGCTCTTCAGCTCAAGCTGAGGGCTCTACCACTTGAACCACAGTGCCATTTCTGGTTTTCTGATGGTTAATTGGAGATCAAAGTCTCACAGATGTTCCTTCCCAGGCTGGCTTTGAACCACAGTCCTCAGTTCTCAGCTTCCTGAGTAGCTAGGATTACAGGCATGAGCTACCGGTACCCCCTGTTTTTTTTTTTTTAATGGTATTTTTAAACATTTCTTGACTGGGTATGTTTAATTCTAGTGATGAATATTCACAAAGTACTATGGAAACATCCTCTTTAAAGTCATTGAGGTTTTGTGTCCATTCGTGTATTTCAGTGCCTCCAGAAAGAGTTGAGAAGATAATGGACCAGATTGAGAAGTACATCATGACACGCCTGTACAAACATGTGTTCTGCCCAGAGACCACTGATGACGAGAAGAAAGACCTTGCCATTCAAAAGAGGATTAGGTCCTTGTTCTGCTTTATCTCTGTTCTTCCCACTAATGGGGGATACATTGTAGGAAAATAAGGCCCTTGAATCTCAACTTTAAATGACAAGGCCTGCTAACTACCTGCCAGCTTAGCACTGTGAGCTCTGGTGTCCGGAAGAAAGGCTTGCTCTGGCCTTGCTTGTTTGCCCACTCCAGGCAGCTTGTTGGCGTTTGAGATCTCCAAACTTTTCAAGGACTAGAAGGACATGTTCCCTATTTTCTTGGGCTGTATTGTCAGGCAGGAAGCATCTGTGCGTGCACATCTGTGTGCAGGCAGTAGGTGTCGCCTCCTCATCCCCACCAGCAGAGCAAGCTAGCTAGGACTCCGTAGTTCCCAGGCTAAGCATGACGATTGTGCTGAGGGAGAGGACATCCTCACTACTTCTGGCTCACTCCTGTCAGATCTGCCCGTACTGTCTCCTCAAAACTTCCCCGTTGTCCCTAGCATCCCACTATGACCCACACAGTTCAGCTGTAGTTTCCTTTCCTACACATTGTGCCTATTGCATGGGAATCCCAAGTGAGGCCCACACAGGGCGGGCACTCAGTAGTTCTGTGCTTAGAGATGGCACACCAGAAGCAAGATGTTGAGGCTGAGCCAATGCTCGGCGCCAGTAGTAACTACAGGTATTGCCATGAGGGATAGGTTAAGAGCTTTGACGTGAAGGTTAGGTCAGCAGCAAAGCTGGATGGAAGTGAGGTGTGATCAGGAAGGTGCCATACTTGAGGCAGAGGCAAGATTGGTTCATTGGTCACTTGTGTGGGCTACACTGGGCCTTGGTTTGAGAGTAGACAGTAAAAGAACATTAACATGCCGGACTGTGAGGCCAGGGAACATACGAAGGGTTCCTCTGCCTTGATAAATTCCCCTCCCACCAGGGGCACTGCCTTTTCCTGCCAGGGTGAGTGCAGAGCAACCTCGTCCAGGGGTCCAGCTCCTGTGTGCTAGGGTGAAGTGCTGGAGCCTGAGACTCCAGAATTCATCAATGATGCCTCATGTTCCCTAATTGAAGGAAACCACGGGATTCTAGACTGTAGCACCTTCTTGACTGTTGCTCTCTCTCTATAGGGCCTTGCACTGGGTTACTCCTCAGATGCTCTGTGTCCCTGTTAATGAAGAAATTCCAGAAGTGTCTGATATGGTGGTGAAGGCAATTACAGGTCAGTCAAATTGAGACCCTTTGTGTTGGGATGTTTCCTCTTTACTATTTTATTATGATACTAGTCTTCATTAGTGAGCAAAAAGGCATTAAACTATTGCTAAAATAAGCCAGGTATCTGTGGGCTTACTCTGGAGGCTAAGATCTGAGAATCATGGTTCAAAGCCAGCTGAGGCAGGAAAGTCCAGGAGAATCTTATCTCCAATTAACCAGCAAAAGCTGGGTGTGGAGTTGTGTCTTAAGTGGTAGTATACCAGTGTAGAGTGAAAAAGCTCAAGGGACATTGCTCAGGCTTGGAGTTTAAGCCCTAGTACTGGGCACCAAAAAAACCCCAAACAGGGCTGGGAAGGTGGCTCAGTGGTAAAGCGCTTGCCTTGCATATCTAAGGCCCTGGGTTCCATTCCTCAGCACCACATAAGCAAAAAGAAAAAAAGCCGGAAGTGGCGTTGTGGCTCAAGTGGTAGAGTGCTAGCCTTGAGCTGAAGAGCTGAGGGACAGCGCCCAGGCCCACAGTTCAGGCCCCACGACCGGACCCAAAAAACAACAACAACAACAACAAAGAAACCCCAAACAACAACAAAAACAAAACAGCTATTAAAGATACATTAGAGTGACTGATGCTGGTAGTTCACGCCTGTAATCCTAGCTACTCAGGAGGCTGAGATCTGAGAATCATGGTTCAAAGCCAGCCTCTGCAAGAAAGTATGTCTCCCCTTTCCCTCTGCGCTATTTATATCTTCTTTTTTATTTTTAATATCTTTTTGTTGGTTGTGGGCTTGAACTGAAGGCCTGGGTGCTGTTCTTGAGCTTCTTTTGTTCAAGGCTAGCAGTCTATCACTTGAGCCACAGTGCTACTTCCAGCTTTTTCTATGTGGTACTGAGTAATTGAACCTAGGGCTTCATGCATGCTAGGCAAGCACTCTACCACTAATCCACTTTCCCAGCCCCTGTCCCTGAGCTCTTTTGCTCAAGGCTAGTGCTCTGCCACTTTGAGCCACAGCTGTACTTCCCCCCATGTGCTCTTCCTCTTAAGCTGAAATTAAAGATGTGCTAGAGTAAAGAAGCAGTAAGAAGACTTGGGAGTCGGCCAGGTGCTGGTGGCTCACGCCTGTATTCCTAGCTACTCAAGAGGCTGAGATCTGAGGATCGCAGTTCAAAGTTAGCCTGAGCAGTAAACTCCATGAAACTCTTTATCTCCAATAAACCACCAGAAAACTGGAAGTGGCACTGTGGCTCAAGTGGTAGAGTGCTAGCCTTGAGCTGAAAAGCTGAGGGATATGCCCAGGCCCAGAGTTCAAGCCCACAACTGACAAAAAAAATAAAAAAAGTCTAGGAAGTCTGGTGCCAGTGGCACATGCCTGTAATCCTAGCTATTCAGGAGGCTAAGATCTGAGGTTCATGGTTTGAAACCATCCTGGGCAGATAAGTCCCTGTGAGATTCTTATCTCCAGTTAACCACTCAAAAACTCGAAGTGGTACTATGGCTCAAGTGGTTAGAGTGCTTGCCTTGAGCACAAAGAGGCTCAAGGGACAGCACCCATGCCCTGAGTTCAAGCCCCACAACTGGAGAGAGAGAGAGAGAGAGAGAGAGAGAGAGGTGGGGGGAAGGAGAGAGGACAGTGACTTGGCTTGGAAAGCAGCTTCTTTCTCCTGGAGCTTAGATGGTTTTCCTCTGTGGTTAGAAGATGAGTTTTAGGTCAGGCTTGTTTCAGATCTCCACCTTGCCTATTGGTGTCTGTGTAAGCTGACAAATCATTTAACCTCTCTGGAACTCACTCCCCATAGCTTCAAAGTAGATAATAGGGTCCATTAAGGATACTCTGTACAGTATCCTGTGTGGCTCCTGACTCAAGCTTATGTGAGGTTTTGGGTTTTGTTTTTTACAGTACTGGGGACAAAACTGGTTGTTATGTTCTGTGTAAACTTGTCCTTTGGTTTGGTGTCTTAAGTTCATATATTAAGTGCTGGACAGTGGGCTAATGAAGTTTCCTCCATAAACTGCCCTCATAATTTTTCTGCTAGGCATGATGGCTCACACTTGTAATCCCAGCTACACAGGAGGATCACACAGTTCAAGGCCATCCCTGGCAAAATCTTAGCAAGACCTTATCTTAACCAATTATGAAGGATGTGGGGGAGTCCATCTGTAGTCTCAGCTGTGTGGGGGGTATTGGAAGTTGGTCCTGGGCAAAAAGCAATATCCTATAAAAGCAATATCCTAGAAAAACAACTAAAGCAAAAAGGGTTGGGAATGTGGCTTGTTGTAGAACACCTGCTAGCAAGTGTGAGTCTCTCTGTTCAAACACACGTACTGAAAAAAAAATTTTTTAAATAGGAATACTGGTGGTTCACACCTATAATCCTAGCTGAGATCACAATTCAAAGCCTGCCTGGGCATATAAATCTTTGAGACTCTATCTCCAATTAACCAGCAGAAAGTCAGAAGTGGAGGCCTGACTCAAGTGGTAGCAAATGTAAAATCTTGAGTTCAAGCCCCAGTACTAGCACACCACACACACACACACACACAAAAGGAAAGAAAAGGAAAAGAAAGGAAAAAAGTAAATTATTCTGTTGCTGCATGTATGACTTCTCTCATGGCTAGAACTGGCTCTTGCATTTGTAGATATCATTGAAATGGACTCGAAGCGGGTACCTCGAGATAAGCTGGCCTGTATCACCAGGTGTAGCAAGCACATATTCAACGCCATCAAGATCACTAAGAATGAGCCGGCATCGGCCGATGACTTCCTGCCCACCCTCATCTACATCGTGTTGAAGGGTAACCCGCCGCGCCTGCAGTCCAACATCCAGTACATCACGAGATTCTGCAACCCCAGCCGCCTGATGACTGGAGAGGACGGCTACTATTTCACCAACCTGGTGAGCATGGGCCGAGGATTGGGACAGGCCTGGACAAGTGAGAGCTGCAGGCTGGGGCAGCTGTGGCCAGGCTAGGCCAGGCCCTTCCTCCAGTACAGGGGCCGTGTCACCCCACTGTGGGCTTCCTCACTGCAGATGCCTCACCTTGAGCTTTGATGGGACTTAAAGACATAGTTCACTCTGCTTTTATTGAGCCCTGCGCTCTTACTTTGCTGTGGCCTGTTGTCTACAGTGTCCAGAGTTCCACTTCCTCTGTGTCACCTTCCCTGTGAATTGTTCTTTGGTGTTCTCTCTGCACTGTCTCGCCTGGTCACAGGTCTGTGACACCATCCTTGAAGGACGGAGTTTCATTCAAAACTTCACCACTTCACCAGTGTTCCTGTCACATGTTTTCTATGCACACCTGCCTGCCCTTGTAGAAAAGCTGAGTCAGCAAAGGGAAGTGTACGTGGACATCCATTTAATAGGGCGCTTCCTAGCACTCTGTGCTCATGGGCTGCACGTCACTTCCACCTACATACAGCCCCTGTTACTTGTGCTGGGTTGCACCAGGGTTGCTGTGCCCATCAGAGTGCTGAAGGGAGTCACTTTATGGGGTCTAGCGAGGTATACCTCATGTATGGCCCTGGAGCTTCTCAAAATATAAACAAACCTGGCCATGACTTGCTGTTTTGCTTTTTTCCAATCCTGGGGCTTGAACTCTCTGGGCACTGTCTTTAAGCTTTATTGTTCTCTAACCCTTGAGACCCAGCTCTTCTGACTTTTTGATAGCTAATTGGAAGGAGATAAGAATCACAGATGGGGCTGGGAAGGTGGCTCAGTGGTAGAACGCTTGCCTTGCATGCCTGAGGCCCTGAGTTCGATTCCTCAGCACCATATAAACAAAAAGAAAAAAAGCCGGAAGTGGTGCTGTGGCTCAAGTGGTAAAGCGCTAGCCTTGAGCTGAAGAGCTGAGGGACAGCGCCCAGGTCCAGAGTTCAGGCCCCACGACCGGACCCCTCCCCCCCGCCAAAAAAAAGAATCTCACAGATTTTTCTGCTGGAGCTGGCTTCAAACCATGAGCCTCAGATCTCAGCCTCCTGAGTAGCTAGAATTATAAGCATGAAGCACCAACCCTCGATTGACTCGGCAGTTGGGTGACGTTGAAGTGTTTATGTGCAACTTTTTCTAATTTGACCATAATTCCTTTTCTTCTCTTGACAGTGCTGTGCTGTAGCAGATTTGGTGGTTTGTGACGTTGAAGTGTTTATGTGTAACCTTTTCTGATTTGACTGCAATCTCTTTCTCTTCTTTTGGCAGTGTTGTGCTGTGGCTTTCATTGAGAAGTTAGACGCCCGGTCACTGAATCTAAGTCAGGAGGACTTTGACCGATACATGTGTGGCCAGAGTTCACCCCGGAAACAGGAAGCCGAGAGCTGGTCTTCTGACTCTTGCTGGGGTGTGGAGCAGATGTACAAGAACTTGGACCTCCTGTCTCAGTTGAATGAGCGTCAGGAAAGGCTCATGAGTGAGGCCAAGAAGCTGGAGAAAGACTTAATAGATTGGACGGATGGGATTGCAAAAGAGGTACAAGACATTGTGGAGAAATACCCACTTGAAATTAAGCCTCCGAGTCAGCCCTTAGCAGCCATTGACTCTGAAAACGTGGAGAATGACAAACTACCTCCACCCTTGCAACCTCAAGTGTATGCAGGGTGAGGGGCTTCGTGGATGGTACTTCTGGACCTGAGTGTTGGGGTCTCTGCACAGGTTACCAGGTGGATCCAGAATAGAGCTTTCTCACTTAGGTGTCAGGGCATTTTCAAGGTACAGTTGTGGGGATCATTTGTTTTTCTTTCTGCAGGGGAGGTATAGTAAATAATAAATCGCTATTTATTTGAGTCACTGAAATGCACTCCTTTTTAGGCTTCTATGAGGGTTTTGTCACTGTGCTTCTGTGATAGCCTTGACTGGGCTTTGGCTCTGGGTGGGACACTGCTGTTAAAGGCAAGGAGAAATCATTGCTCTACTAAGGATATGTGAAAGGCACTTGATGTTACCACCCTCCCACAGTTTGAAATAATTTTCTAATTGTAAAGACAGAAGATATATCAATAAGTAAATATGTAAAATTATAAATATGCTTAAAAAAAGAAAACTACTCATTGGTGTCATGCATACGTTCTCTGTGTTAATTATTTTTTCAGTTTGATGTATACTGAGTATTTGCCTTCAGCATTAATTCATGTCATTGGTCCACGGAAATGAATCAAAAAGTATTTAGACATATTCCCTCCTAAAACATGGACTTTGTCTTTAACCTTAACTTTGAGATACTGTGTAGTCAGAGGTTAAAAATTCAGAATAATAATTTTAGGTCACATAGAGTTACTGTTCATCTCAGCCAAGGGAGGATTTGAATTATGCTTCTGACATCTTTTCCCCTGTTCATTCACTATTCTCTTTTGGTAATTTTGGGTTTTCAAAGCAGAGTCTTGCTATGTAGCCCTGTCTGACCTTGGACTTGTGGTCCTCCTGCCTCAGCCTCCCGAGTTCTGGGGTTGCAGCAGGCATGTGGTATCCAGCCTGGCTCATTTTTTCTTTTTGCTGGTTGTGGGGCCTGAACTCTGAGCCTGGGTGCCATCCCTCAGCTCTTCAGCTCAAGGTTAGCACTCTACCACTTGAGCCACAGGGCCTCATGCATGCAAGGCAAGCACTCTACCACTGAGCCACCGTCCCAGCCCTGGCTCATTCTTTATGGAGTTGTTTGATGTAAGGAGCAGACCCATGGCCAGGGAGCATGGGGTGTAGGGTGCCTTGCAGTCTCTGTACTATTCTTGTGACTTCATAGCCAGCCAGTCAAGTGACAGGTGTGTACCCCTCTTTCAGAATTGTCCAGCCTCAGTACCTAATGCCATTGTGGCCTGAGGATTTGTGTTGTGGGGGGAATGTACTGTGCATTATGGGTTGTTTACCTCCCCCCCCCCATGGTTGTAAACACCCCCTGGAGCAGTCCTGCCTCAGTTAAGAACCACCTTGTAAACAAGTTAGTTTTCCTCCAAGTGGTTAATGCCAGCTAACCAAAGACCACTGCATTAAATGCAGACTCTAATGTTAAGTATTGCAGTCTGGATGCTACCTGCAGTGTGGAAACTTTTTCTCTTTGCATTACTGGGGCTTGAACTCAGATACTTGTGCGTGCGAGGCAGGCATTCTACCATTGGAGCCATACTCCAGCCCTTTTTGCTTTAGATACTCTTTGAGTCTCATGCTAGTTTCTGGGAGCTTGTCTGGACTGCCAGTCTCCTACATATGTCTCCTATAAGCTGGAATTACAGACATGAGCCACTATGCCCAGCTTGTCTGTTTAGATAGGGAGCACAATAACTTTTCACCTATACTGATCTCAAGCCTCAGTCCTAATTTCTGAGTAGCTAGGACTTCCCTGTTGCCAGTGGAACTTTTCATACCCTGGTTCCAGTCTGACCTCTACAGCTTGTCAGTAGTGTCCCTGTGAAATTTCTCTGATGCACCATTTTGAACAGTGTGGGTTGCAAGCAGCTAAGCAAGGGTCTATTGGTTTCCCAATGCCTACCCAAGAGTAAACATAAACTCAGAAACCAGGGCAAGTATATAAAGTTTTGGCCTTTATTTAATGTATATTACCAAATCTGTCAGTTTGCCACACCTGCTGTCACCCAGCACTTTGACATGAAGTGGTGGAGTCCACCTATCCCCACACTCTGGGGGAAGCTACCCTGAGATGTCAGTGGGAATCCTCTTAGATAAGCTCAGCAACTTTCCTCCTCTCATTTTCCCTGTACTTCCTAGGTGCTAATTCATGCTTCTACAGGCTTAATTCTCTAGAAAACATAGTTCTTTTTGTTGTCCATTATGTTAACTTGGATATGCTTATCAGCCTACAAGAGCGTTTTGTGTGGATCTCCAGGTTTTTGAATGGAGGTTTTGTGGATGTCTTGGTCAAGTTCTTGAGATAATGGCTCTTGTCTTGTGTAGGGGGCTTGCTATACATGAGCATCCAGATGATGATCACATTTCTGTTTTTCTCAAGAAAATGTGCTATTTCATGCACAAAATGTGACTTGGGTAAACCTTTCAGAAATAAGTGCGTATCAATAAAGCTTTGTGAGCCCTCCTTCTTACAGATTGGTGTAGAGCTCTTTATTAGAATATGTATGATTGTTAATATTTTCATCTCACATGAGTTTTTGTTTTTATTTCATTTGAGACAGAATGTCATTGCGTAACCTAGTCTAGTGTAGAACTGCCTCCCAAAGGCTGGGATTACAGGTATGGCACTTTGGGCCAGCTTTAGGGGTTCCCTGCCCCCCCTTTTTTTTTTTTTGGTCCAGTCGTGGGTCCTGAATTCTGGGTCTGGGCGCTGGCCCTCAGCTCTTCAGCTCAAGGCTAGCGCTCTACCACTTGAGCCACAGCACCACTTCCGGCTTTTTTTTTCTTTTTGTTTATGTGGCGCTGAGGAATCGAACCCAGGGCCTCAGGCATACAAGGCGAGCGCTCTACCACTGAGCCACCTTCCCAGCCCCTAGAGGTTCCCCTTTTTAAGCTGTAACCATCTTCATTGTCTGTAAAAATGACTGAGAATAGAATAAGGGAATTTGCTGTTACCACAATTAACATTGTGGAAATTCTATATAAGCTACTACTTAGTCTTAAGATACAGAAAAAATGGGTAGGGGCCAAGCTCATTGTGATAGAGCCCTGGGAGCTATCCAACAAGGAGACTTCCTTGATAAAAGAGCACCAATATTAGCCAGGTATCGGTGGCCTGTAATCCTAGCTACTCAGGAGACTGAGATCTGAGGATCACGGTTCAAAGCCAGCTGGGCAGTGAGACTCTTATCTTCAATAAACCAATAGAAATCTGGAAGTGGCGCTGTGGCTCAAGCGAAAGAGCACTCACCTTGAGCTGAAGAGCACAGGAACAGCACCCAAGCCCAGAGTTCAAGCCCCAAGCCCCACAACGACAACCACCACCATCAAAAAAAAAAAAGTACCAATATTTCCCCATCATCATAAGGAAAGACATCAGCTTTTTTTTTTTTTTTTTGGTCAGTCGTGGGGCCTGAACTCTGGGCCTGGGTACTGTCTTTCAGCTCTTCAGCTAAAGGCTAGTGCTTTACCACTTGAGCCACAGTGCCACTTCTGGCTTTTTTTCTGCTTATGTGGTACTGAGGAATCAAACCCAGGACAAGGCAAGCACTCTACCACTGAGCTACTTTCCCAGCCCCATCATCTTTTTTTTAAAAAAAAATTTTTTTTATTGTAAGTAGTTGTACAAAGAAGTTCCCATTCTACAAAACAGTATATGGATACAAGGTATCTGACAACATTGTCACCCATTGCTCCTAACCCATCACTTCTCTTACTTTTTAAATTGAGATTAGGTGATTATATAAATTTCACATATTTCAGAGTATTGTGTAATAGTGATAGTTAAAGTTCCAAACACATTTTAACCTTCACAAGGCAAATTGTCTTTATTATGGTCCATAAAGTTTGTGAATTCTATGAGCTTTGACAATACAATTATTTCTTCCACATCAGGTGATGTTTACATTTCTTACTTTTTGCTTAGTGTAAACGGTTCCCTTTTTGCCTCATTCCTCCCTTCCCATTGCAAAAGACACCAGCTTTAAAAGAGCATGTTAGCTGGGTGCCTGCGGCTCACACCTATAGTCCTAGCTACTCAGGAGGCGAAGGATCACAGTTTGAAGCCAGTGCAGGCAGCAAAGGGCATGAGAGTTATCTCCAGTTGACCGCCAAAAAACCAGAAGTGGTACTGTGGCTCAAAGTTGTAACTTAGAGCAAAAAAGCTCAGGCACAGTTCTTGGGCCCTGAGTTCAAGCCCCACCACAGACCTCCCCCCCCAGAAAAAAAAAGGATCTGGTGAAACCCAGGAATGTTTAAGGGAAAGAGATTTTGTGTCACAAACAACCCAAATCTAGTAATCCAACTAGATTGGATAGCTAAGACTAGATGTCAAAACTGTCCTACAGCAAGAACGACAGAATGGACCAGGAGTCTAGAACAAAGGGAAACACCACGCTCAACAGTTTGTTGTTTTAAAGGGCTCACTGCCCTGGTCAGGGTTTCCCAGGCAACCCCCCTTGGGTTGCCAAGACAGAATGCCACCTGTAGAGGCGGCGCAAGCTTCAGGGCGGCTGGAGGCCTGACCTCTCTAAACCACAGGGCTGTGTATTATTTCCCATACAGGCCTCCATTCCTTCCAGATGGTTCACTGCTTACTCCCTTAATAAACAGTCAATGAAGTGGAAAGAAATATAGCTTCTTGGATTTGGGATGACAGCCACAGGCACGGTAAGCATTCTTAAATAAGGAAACCCTTAGGCACTGCTATTGGGGGCGGGGATCAAGCTGAAAGTGTGTTGGCACTACTGGGGTGGGGTAGGGAGCAGGGATTCTGGTCATGTCTCCAGACAGACCCATGAGTGGAGGTGACTACTGTTTAAGTATGCCAGTGTGTTGTCACTTGGTAAATGGTAGAACATCATTCTGAAATCCTTGTGTCTAGATGAACCACTCAGTGCGGACTGGACTTTGCTGTCATTTGCTGAAAGTACTTTCCTTTAAAACCTTGTTAATCCTACATCCTAAACCAGCAAAGCTGGGCAGGGTTGTACCTGCTATAATTCTAGTCCTGACAAGGCTGAGGCAGGAATCAGTTGTTTTGGGCTACATAATGAGACCTTGTTTCAAAAAATAGAAAGCCCAGTATCGGTGGCTGGTTCTGGCCATCCTTGCTACTTGGGAGGCTGAGGTTAGGAAGACCACGCCAGGCTGTGCAGAAAAATTCATGAGATTCCACTTCAGTGGAGGGAAGCCAGATGCTATAGTTTGCATCGGTGGCCCAGTGAGGACAGAAAGCCTAAAGTAGGCAGATTGAGTAGGAAGTTAGACCCTATCCTAATAACAATGAGCAAAAACAAGGCTGGAGGTGTGGATCAATGGTAGAGTGCCAGTCCAGCAGCTTGAAGCCCTGGTTTCAAACCCCAGTATCAATAATACACACTCACTTACACTTGCATACACTTTGAGGTCAGAAAAACACACACATTGGAGAGTGGGGAGATAAGCAAACGCACAGGTCCTGGTGATCATTTATGATGCGGCAGAGGAAGAGTTGCTATCCCAGAACTCGGGTGACCTAGGAAGTGATAGGCACTAAGCACCTATTTAACTACTGAATGCAAAAATTACAACTGACAGTGGTTCGGCCCTCTGTCCCAGGTGCTGAGCTGAGCAAGCAGTTTGTGCGTGTGTTATTCCTCTGATATTTGGAACAAACCCTGTATTGTGAGAATGACAGCAGGTAGCTATTACCAGTGCTTCATCCACACTTGGCATTAGGCAAAGAACAACATATTTAATGCTTGCAAGAACCCTTTAACTCCTTAAAATCTCATCAATCTGGGAAGAGAGTAATAAAAGTATAGACAATAGGATTTTAGGATTTTATATTAGGTTGTTTATTGGAGAAGAGGAAGAGGGAGAGCACTTTTTTTGGGGGGGGTAAGTTGTGGGGCTTAAACTCTAGGTCTGGGTGCTGTCCCTGAGCTCTTCAGCTCA